TTTTGTTAAAATTAGATTTTAACTTAAATATTTAATTTGACCCTTAATTGAATTTTTATTATGTTTGGGAATTTTGTCCTAAATTAAAATATTAATTCAATTTTATTAGAGTTGGACTCTAATATTACATTAATTAAAATTTGTTTTGAATTAGCACCACTTTCCTATGCAAATCAGTACTTAGAATATGACTCTAATTTAATAATTAATTAAAATTCGATTTTGATTAAATTACTTCTCCAAATAGTTATGGAGTTAGAGTTGGACTCTAATTCGGGATTTAGTTAAAATTTGATTTTAATTAAATAGGCCCGTCAATTAAATTAATTAATTAATACGATTAATTACTTGTTTAATTATCTCGATCCCAAAATTTTGATTCAATTTTGACGACTATAATTGCTAGATTTATGAGACATTACATACAATATTAGATATTATACATAGGAAACATTTATGTGATGAATGTTTGTGGATGATTATGGATTCGACCATATGGATGTGTTGAATGGTTGATTTACTTCTTATTGTCGTTGTGGGCCTGTGAGCTCCTTATTAAATATTGGACCTGCGAGTCCGTTATTATTGTTATTGCGTGCCAACTAGTATAGAATACATGTTGCAAGTTCGGCTAATTGGAGGCGCAAGAAGAGGTGGACACCATGGAGATGGTGTATTGCTATTGGTCCAATACTGTACCCCTTAGGAATTGACCAACTAGTTTTCCTTTTGGCTCGGGAAAACTAGATAGAACAAGTTCATAATCATTCATACTATTACTTATATATATATGTATTTATTCGCGTAGTTGATGTATGTTTATATATATATATAATTGCTTGATGAAACCATTGCACATTAAATCCCTCGTTAAAAAAAATTATTAAGTTAGTATTATTTGCCTTCCATCATTATAGTGAAAAATGAGAATCCTAAATCGACCTTAGCTTGTTAAGTACACTCAAGGCTGGTCTATTAGGGATATGTTTGACACTATGAAATATTTGATATTTCTGAATGATGGGTTTAATTTAACTAAAATTTATCTTTTGTTGAGTACACTCAAGGAGATAAGTTTTAGAGGCATGTTAAGCTAAAACATAAGATGTGTGAAGACAAAAGAGTTGTCAGTTTAATGATCTGGGAGTTGTATGGAAATACAATTTATAATAATATCTACCCAAATGTTTTATTAGGATTTGTTGAGTACACTCAAGATCTCGATACAACGAATGGGATCCCAGCCCACTGTGAATCAAGTGTGGATTCAAATAATTTATGTATGAGGGTTATGAATTTATTTTAGACAGTGGGAGCACATTTAATTAAAGTCCATATTGAATTTATGCACATGCATTACAATACATATTAATTCTATTTTTTTGTCATTCACAGTTTTTGAATCATGAGTAATCATATGAATTTGAGAGGCATACT